GTGTTCAAATATCAACAGGAGACATTTATAATCAATAATGAAAACTATCAGTGGTGTCTGTACCAGTACATGTATGTCACCTCTTACATTGATGATACCAGCTAGTATTTTTAAATTATTCATACATGGATCAAGGCTTTGAGGCAGTACATCAAAACTAGGTATGCATAGAAGCTTATAGGCTTGAATGACTGTGCTTTGTTTGATCGCCTGATTGATCATTGTAGCACAAGTCTTATACATATGATACCATGAAAATACATTTTTATTGAATGTTGAAAGCTGTAAAATATATAGGGCTGGCCATTTGACTTTTGACACAGAGAAAGGGGGGCAGGATGATCTGGTGTACGCAATAAATTTTGCTAGACCTTAAGAAAACACTCAAAACTTAATAATGGTAAAATTACAAAGATTCTATAGTRGAGAGTTTGCCTGCTAGTACTCATAAAAGTTCCAAGGTCAAACACATATTTTTGCATTTTTTGTCTTTGAGCTAGAGTAACTTAACATACTTGTACYGTGAAACATAGTCAAAGAAGTAGTAGATAGTAGTTTTTATTTACTGACTAATTGTATTATACTATTAGTAGATATCACTTGGCTAGATCAATTCATGAAACCAAAATAAGGTAATATGCAAGACCGCAAACYRATTGGCTCAGTTGGTTGAGCATCGGATTACAATGCGGGAGGTCGTGGGTTCAAACCCTGGACGRACCAATACTCAGGGTCTTAAAATAATTGAGTAGAAGTTGCTGCCTTTGTTTCTCCATCTGCAAATGGTAAGATCTTCACGTCCTCTCGGATAACGACGTTAAATCGGAGGTCCCGTCTCTCTACACTTCTCATTAGCATCAGAGGGACGTTAAAGAACCCATACCACTATTCGACTAAGAGTAGGGCACGGAGCTCCCGGTGGTGTGGCCAGGGCTCATCTCACCAGCATTGAGGTCGGCTTGGCGTAGTGTTCGTATAAAGGTTACTAGTCAATGAGACCTCATACTAATATACAGCTAGTAACCCAATGAACGTTGCCAAGTGCTGGAACTATGTAGATGTAGATGAAGACACTTGGAATCTACACAATGTTATTAAAAACTACCTAATGAGGAAAGAGGAATTCATTTGTCCCACCAACAAGAAAAGAAAGAAGTTCTTTGTCAAAATGCACTAGAAGGAAATATGTCAGGACTGGCTACAATTGTAGAACTTATGTCAGATATAGGCTTCAGGGAAATACATGTTTATTGAAAGAGCATAAAAAGAATTGCTTTATGTGTGTGTACATATGAAATAAAAGAAAGTTTGATCACATAACATTTGAAAACCAAAAAATACAAATTGATTGAGTTCACATGAAATAAAGTTGTGCAGTTGTCAAGTCTCTTGTGTATTGCCGTTTACATTCATGAATTGTTCAGGTTCAGTGATATCTACTATTAGTCAGTAAATAGACACTAATAAGTTACTATTTATTTTGATTATATTTAGGGGTACGTTGACTCTATTTCTTTTGATGTACAATTATTATTGTCAACTAGCTGCTAATTATCAGTTTTGAATCTTTTTGTAGGTTAATGTTGGCTGTGTGCCTAAAAAGGTATRTCATCATTGTAAGAAATAATGTTGGAAAATGTAGTTATACAAGGACATGAAATCAAGAAATGTGTTGTCAGGAAGATGATACTCCAACACAGGGTTCCCAATCTCCCTAACAATCTCTCAGTATTGCTGGGTATAGGGATAAGCAATTCATTRTATAATTATATAGTATCAAACCCCATGCAAGGCTTCAAAAAATCTATACTTCAGGCATTTCTTGACAGTGTTAAACTATCCAGGATCTTTGTAAGATCTTATATATYTTTTGGCAAGGTGTTTCATAGGCACATCTACACATTTTACTTCAATGAGARGATACACTGTAGCTAGCATGCTATTATAATATATCTGTCCATTGAATTGGTCTTACTTCCAAATTTTCACATTTTGGATTCAGCTATGTTTTAATGTATAAACTTTTGATTCAGCTATATTTGCTTCAAGTTGAAAATTCTTTTTTGTTGTTGAAATCCTGGAGTCATTGCTTACTTCAACCTTATGCAGACTGTCTTTATTTCTTTTGAAGATAATGTTTGCAACAGCAACACATGCAGAGCAGATCCCAGATCTTAAGGATTATGGCTTCAATGTGACTTATAATAACTTTGATTGGAAGTAAGCAGATAAAAAGTATTGTAGAATTTTAAGCTCAAACCATAATACTAGTATATTGTTTTCAGTGTATGTTTTACAAAAATCTAGCAAAGTGAACACGATCTGTTTGGAAAGTACTTCTCTCTTCACTAATTCCTCTGTCTATGACATATTAGCATTGGGAATATGCATGATGGCAGACTTATGCACCTATCAATGTTAGGCCCCCAGGGGGGGGAGGCCGGGCTAGGGGTGGGGATTAGACTAGCTATTACTGACCCAGGGTCGGGCATTTGCCAATAATCCAGTGCCCCAGGGTGGGTATATTTGCCAACCATCGTTGCGTTACCTGAGTAATAGAGAGCTGAGGAGAACTGAAGACTAGTGCCTCTATAAAAGCCCCCGCAGATATCTCATAGCACATGGCAAGATGGCGGATGTCAAGGAAGTAACGGTATTAGTTTTGTTTTTCAAAGATTATCTTTTGTCTAAAACAACAAAAGGGTTTTATTATAACATTTACAAGTATTGATCAAATACTGAATAAAAAGGCTCAGAGAAAGAGACTGATCAATGAAAACCTCAGATTTTCAAATATAATTTAACCAATAAATTGGTCCCCAGGGTGGGGATTTTTAGCTGCATTTGACCACATTCAGCAGCCTGAGGATGGGGCATTTTACAGAAAAAAATGAAAAAATGTCTAATCCCCACGCCTAGCCCGGCCTCCCCACCTGGGGGTTTAACATTGATAGGTGCATTACACCATTTATAACTGTAGCTTCAACCTAGATTTACTGTTAAATCATCAGCAATGACCCCACCCTGTGAATGAAATGCATTATCCATTTCCATAAAACAAACCAATTTTAAAAKTCCTCTAGCAATTTAATCCCTCTAAAATGAGTCTGTTAACCTTGTGTGACATGACACCACAAAACCATCTGAGGATCTTCATAACTAGGATTAGCAATAATTTTGTTGATGGTTTTGGCCGGGATCTTTGAAAATATTATTTTGGTAGAAGTTGTACACCTTCCATTGCCTCACACCACGGACAATACATTTGGTTAATATATATTTACTAGACAGATTTTCAAAGTTGAATTGCAGTAACCATAAACCATGTCATCCTTTATTAATTTTTCTCTTATATTTTAATAATTTTTTTAGACAGGTTAAAGAGAAAAGAGATGCTTACATCAAGAGGTTGAATGGTATTTATGAAAGAAACCTTGACAAGGTATTGATAGCTCATAAAATAAGATTAAATGCAAAGTAGAGTGGTTTTCATGAATCTGTAAAATACACTTTAGAGTACTACACTGTATTACTCTTTACAGTATGCATTTTTCTTTCTCGTAACGGTGTATCACACACTATTACACTTTGGCAATGATATTTTGTTTTGCAGGTCAGTAAAAACCACTCTAACATGGTTTCACYTTGAGGGTAGTAGAACAAACTAAATTGTTGGTCTGCTTTATTAGCTAAACTCTATGCAACAGATAACTGCTTAAAATTATAGCTATCAGTTAGCCTTCTTGAGAGAGGGAACATATGGCTGATACTAATGACATCTGCGAAAGAGGCTATCTATCAGTGGTATCGACAATGACAGTATCCCAGGGACCATGGAGCAGAGGGAACATGGGGGCTGTAGCCACCTCGAMCCCAATATTATTTGGAAATTCAATTAAAATTTATGAAATATTGTTTCCAGTCYAAAGTAGATTACATTGTTGGTCATGCYAAATTTGATGCATCTGGAAATCTTCATGTTGGTGACCAAGTATATTCTGCTAAGCACACACTAATTGCTGTAGGAGGTCACCCATCCATCCCAYCAGTAAAAGGTTTGTTGTTGTACATGATTGTCCATGTGTTTTGGAGAGTTAAGCTTCAATTATAGGATTATTTTTTTTAGAAATTACTGGGGCTATAATTCATCATATTAAAATGAATGGACATCAATGATATAAGATTGATTTTCTTATATTAAATAACTGGCTTAAGATAAAAAGTAAATTGGTTGGAATTAATAATTTTTTTTCGTTTCAACTAGTCCACTTTAATCTATAGTCCMTGCTGGAGACAAAAGGGTGTCAAAATTGGCCTTATACGYGTGGATCCCTTATGACCAATTGCACACCCTACTCCTACATTAAATCATTTCATCTCAACTTACAGTAAAGTTATTGAGTCCTGCCATAACTATATCATTCTATAGCTAATGACAAAAGGGATTGATTGTGTATTTTGTTTGCTCTTTAGGCTGAGTTGCTGTAYAAATGATATAGCTYCATAACCCTTAGTTTGTTACTGTGACACTTTTGCACATGGATCTAGATTGTAGTGGTCACCTTAAAAACAAAAACATTTATTTCAACAAATCRTGGTACATACKTTTTTCGCTTCRTCTGTCCAGTCAGGAATTTAATTTCCAATGACAGAAAAGTTGGGAAAGTCMATTGYTTTTCTTTAAGTATCAAAGTTRATCACAAGCAAAGTAGYGACTGTGGTATGTACTGTTTTTTACCACAGCTCTYGACCAATCAGAAAGCRAGAAAATTATCATATATGGTTAWAACCTTGCTTTGCCTTGCCTTGCTTAGCTTCGAGCTTACTACAATGTGGCAGCAGCAAMAAAAAMTTGAAGAAAAKCATTCAGTTTTTTTGTATTGCAGGATCTGAGCATGGAATAACAAGTGATGGATTTTTTGAACTTGAGGATTTACCCAAGTAAGAGACCTTGAATTAAGCCTAATGACAATGAGTGACCAAAGGAAATTTATACAATCATACATCTCTATCCCATCTGTAATCAATTGATCCATTCAGTGCTTTATCCGTCCACGCATTCATTCATTTGAAAAACAGAGTATTCGAGGAGATAAAAACAGACATATAAAACTATTAAATTATTAATTTTCTAAATTTCAGGAAAGTAGCAGTTGTGGGTGCAGGATATATTGCTGTTGAATTGGCTGGTATTCTAAATGCATTAGGTTCTAAGGTCACTTCTATCATAAGATATAATAAGGTACATGTCTGCAAATTACTGCATTTAGCATTTTTAAAAATGCTAAAAAAAATTAAAAATTTAAAAATTTTAAAAATTTGAAAATTTTAAAATGTTAAAACTAAAAAAAAATTTTAAAAATTTAAAAATGTTAAAACTAAGGTTTGAATTTTTATTTGCCAATGCTATGCTTGTAAAAAATTCAGAATTATTGAATGGAAAGCTAATCAGTTCCACAATCTTATTTCCACTTAATAGGTGCTTCGTAACTTTGATGGGATGATCAGTGAGAAAATTACAGATGAAATTGTGAAATCTGGAATCGATCTTCAAACAAATATGGGAGTAAGTAAAATTATGACAATTCCTCTGTTTTCTAATATCTAATCAATACTATTAAGTAGTAATTAGTACTATTTCTTTCACTGGTTAAGTGTGTCCACTGACCGTCTGTGAGAGTTAAAGAATGGTTTAGACTTGTCAATGTTATCAGGGGTTAGAGGGGGAGGGGG